AAGAAAAGAAAACCCTAGCCGTCATTCTTGTTCTCTGTGTGGATCACCATTGGAGGCTGAACAATTGGACAACTTGGATTGCAGATCGTGATCATTGGAGTTTAAAAAAAAGCAAAAGAGTTTGTGGAATTCATCAAATGTATCATTCTCATCACAGTTTCTATCTAAACACATTGCAGATCCTCGTTTGGGAATTGAAAATTGTTAATTTTTCGTTGCGCATGCTAAGTAAATTCCCAACAGTATGTTACCGAAGGATTTTCTTTTGTTTTTCTTCTGTCACAGCCTACTAACACAGTGCCAATAATTAGCAATAAACAAATAAATAAAATGAACATGATTTATAATTACGTTCTCATTTAAACAACAAAAATAAAGCGAAATTTAAAATTCTAAAATAAAAATAACTTTACTAAAAATAAAAATAGACCTGTAACATTAATTTGTAATTTTTTGGTTCGTATCTCTTAAAAAATCTGAATTTTTTAATTCGTTATCTCGTTCAATTTTTACCATTAGGGTATTTATATCCGCAACCAACTACATATAAACTTGGTAATTTACTTTGTTAGCGTTTTTCTGTATTAAGCAAAATGGATAGCAAAACTTCGACCTATTTGGTGAAAATTAAAATCATACTAAATAGAAAGGAATATCTAATATGTAAGGAGACAAATAAATATCTCCCCCAAGTTTGGAACAAATAATGAACAAACAAGCCATGCCCCGATTATTCACTTTAAGCCGTACCTTTTGCGCAACTAAAGCCATGCTTCAAGCATGCACTTTGAGCAAGTGTCGGTTCTGTGATTTTCGAGGTTTGAGGCGAATTTCATAAATTAGGCCCCAAAATTGTAGTATGAATAAGTGTATTCTGGATTCAATAGTTAACTTGTTAATTTAAATACTTGACAATAAAACAACAAATACAATGTATTATACAAAAGATTTATACTATAATCAAATCACAAAGACGACAACATTCCAAACGTTTTATCGAACAAAAAAAAAGGAAAAATGAAAGAGGCTAAAATCTAAGGCCCTTTTCAATGTTTGGCCTGAGACATGGGCCTCACTCGCCTCAGTGCAAAACCGGCCCTGCTTCCAGCCACATCTTATGCGTAACCAAAGTCATGCGTTGAGCAAGAACTTCAAGCTGCAAATAAATGCATCATTTTCATAAAAATTTCCAATATTTATACCAACATCCATCTTGATGACAATTTTTGTGTCAATGCTGCTCATTTTGGCATCTAGACTCTCCCTTTTATTAACAAAACACAACATTATTCTTTTCTCATATATTAGATGAATAGAACATTTTTTTAATATTTGGGAGCAAATAGGGAGAAGCATCCCATATTATTTTGAAAATATTATCTAGGGATAAATCCAACAATGGCCACCCAATTTTATCTGTTTCATCATGGTCATTCAACTTTATCTTTAGTGTCATCATGTCCACCTAATGTGAATTTATTTCACTGTGATCATCCAATTTTATATAATATTTTATCATAGCCATTCAATTTCATATAACGTTTCATTATGAATATCTAATTTTTTTTTTCATAATTTTCATTAATTTTAAAAGAGATTAAACAACAACTTTGCATTATATACATACAATAAATTTTAAAAAATAAAATAAAAGCTTATTTAAAAAAAAAACAAAAACTTATTTTAAAAAAATTACTTAAAAACATAAAATAAAATAAAAACTTATTTTAAAAAAAGTTGCTTAGAAAAATAAAATAAAATAAAAACTTGTTTAAAAAAACTTTTTTAAAATAAATAAAAATTATTTTAAAAAAAAGTTATTTAGAAAAATAAAATATAATAAAAAATTATTTTAAAATAAACGTTTTTAAAATTAAAAAAAAATTATTTTACATATATAATCCAAAGTAACCGTTTTTACATTTTTAAAATTAGTGAAAATATGAAAATAAATTGTGTGACCATTGTGAAATATATGAAATTTGGTGGTCATTGTGAAATAAAATCAAATTAAATGGCTATTGTTACGGGTCAGTAGATGGA